CTTTAGGGGCCAGGGAAATAGCACAGTGGGGAGGGCACTTATCTTGCAAACAGCTGACCTATGTTTGATCCCCAGCACCACATAAAGTGCCCCAAGCCCGCCAGGAGTGATCCCTGAGTACAGGGCCAAGAGTAAGCTCTGAGCACTGCCGGGTGTGGCAAGGAAAAAAAAAAAGTAGGGAAGGGGGTTATTTCGTCCTAACTGAACTTGATTTGTAAAGGAAAAACTCTCTCACTCTCAATCTCTCACTCTCTGTCTCTGTCTCTGTTTCTATCTCAAATTAGTTCTCTGAAATCAACACCCTGAGCCAATATTCACTTTGTAATTCTGAGAGAATTCAAAGAAAAACAAAACATGCCCAAACCCCACTGGGTGACACCGGCAGCTCTGTTTCTTACAAATGAACAGATTAAAAAGCAAATAAACAAATATTTGTCTGGAACCCACTGCAGCCGATGCTCTCGGCCAAGTTTGTATGTCACCGTAATGAGGCAAGAAAAGACAGGACGCCACCCCGCTTATCTTCCAAATGAAAAGCAAAACTACAGTGCTGGGCTCAGTGTCTGACAGGGATGGGGGCCAGCCAAGGATGCGGGACCCCGACTTTGGAGGGAAAGAGGCATTATGCACCCCAGCAATCTCCTCATTAGGAATGACAGTGCTATCGGGGTGCCAGCCACTCGCCGCCTGCTCAGAAGGCCAGGTGAGAAAGTGTGAGCTGAGAAATCTAAAGGAGAGGATGGCTCAGCACCCCCGGTGCCCGCCCAGCGAGCTTGAGGTCGGGACTTCAATCCCCCAGACTGCCCACAAAAGCCAAGCAAGGATCCTTCGGCTCTGGCCTCTGGGTCTCCCCAAGCCACAGAGAGTGTGATGATCGCAGCCGCCGACAAACACAAAGGATGTCAGCTGGGACTCTGCAACCCAGCACGCGTGCAACCCCAGATATCACACCCCCCCCCCCCCCCCCGCAAGGGAAAGGCACGGAGGGGCACACGGGAACAGGAAGGAACTCAGTGCTCGGAGAAATACACGCGTCTACTTTGGTAAGCGAGTGTCTTGGAGAAGCCACGGCCAGGGGCTGAGACTCCTACGGACACGCCACACCGCAGCAACTCTGGGCTTCAGAACAAATGGGATTTCCGAGAAGCCTTTGAAGTGGAAACCACCTGGATTTGCCAGAAAGTCACCAGCCTGGCACCGGGGCCCTGCCATAACATAGCGCACACTGCCCTCTGGTGCCAGGCATGGAGATGGAAACCCGGGTGTGATGATTCCCATAGCTGCCCGCCCTTCCTTTCTACCCTTCCTTTCTCCGGGACTTGCTGATGACCTAGGATGCCCCCTACCCCTGTGCCCCACCCCCCCACCATTGGCTGCAAGTGGCGACCTGACAGGCAGGAAGCGAAGGGGGTGGGCGACCAGGAGGGCGCACGTGGAGCAGACCAGGACCACCAGAACACAGCAGTCGCCAGCAAACATACAATCCAAGTTGCAAGTCAGTGGGCGCAGGAGACACAAACCCACCCCCGCGTCCCACCCCCGGCAGCTGAAAGGGCACGTGTGATGCCTTTATCCAAATGCGATAAAGATGGAAAGGAGCAACCACAGACAGAGGCAGAGGAAAGGAAAGTCAGAGAGGAGAGGGACACTGGGTTCTGGGGACGGGAGAGGTGGGACGGCGGGGGGTGGGGGAAGGGCCCTGGCCTTGCACACAGAGGAGCGGGTTCAATCCCTGACACCCCCAAGTCCCCACAGAAGTGAGCCCCGAGCACCACTGCGATGACTCAACAACAAAACGAAAGGGGAGGAGAGGTGGGGCTGGAGCTGGAGCCATAGCACAGCAGGGTCGGGCATTTGCCTTGCACGCGGCCAATCCGGGTTCGATTCCCAGTATCCCATATGGTGCCCCGAGCACCGCCAGGAGTAATTCCTGAGTGCATGAGCCAGGAGTAACTCCTGTGCAAAGCTAAAAAAAAAAAAAAAAAAAAAAACACAAAACAAAAGGGGGGCATAAAAAGGGTTTAGGAAAGTGAGTTTTTGCCGTTTAAAGAGGATACAGTGGCGGATTCCAATCTTACCCACAGGGCCCATGCCCGGGTTATTAAGGACTCCCAGATGGGAAGGGTTGGTTATGGTGCAAAGAGATAAAGGCCACACACTCACCCACACGCCCTCCCCACCCCCCGCCACTCCCTTGAGGACTATGCAGAGAGCGACTAAGATGGAGCCAGGCCCGCATGGGAGGCCCACTCTCGGGGACCCTGTCTGTCCACTCTGCAGGTGAGATGAGAGAAAACCAGACCACAGGGACCTTGGGACCCCCAGAGATGGCCGGGTGCTCCGTAGCAGCAACAGGGTGAGTAAGTGATGGGGGAAATGCATCAGGATGTCAGGAAGAGAGCGGGAAGAGGGTCCATGGGAAGGGGCAGGGGGAGGGCAGTGACCACCTGGGGCTGATGTTTCTATGACGGGCGTCACTGAGAATATTCTGGCCAAGACATGCCTCGAGGGTGGAGGGACTCTGAGTGACCACCACAAAAGCAGGCCAGGGAGCAGAGTGGACAGCTACAACAGCTACATCCTTCCCCGTTTCTAGAACCCGAAGGTTCCCAGGACTCAGATCTCACAGACGAGCCCCAACTCTAGGTCTCCCCAAATGGGCTGTGAGTGACAGGGCCCAAGAAGAGCAATAAACGTGTCCCCCCACCCACCCCCAAGCCCCAAGCAAGCAGCTTGGAGAACTCTCTGGCTCACTTGGGGGTAGGACGTGATGAGAGACACACCCACCGTTCATGCCATGATGGCGTATACCAGCACACAGCTGTGAGTGTACACTCTCCTTCCCGCTCCAGGGGGACACAAGTGGATACAGGGTTCAGAGGAGCTGCCTCTGGGGGTGGGGAGCCTGAGGACATATGTTTGACACGCGACTTCTCCCCACCCCCTGTCCTGCACCCTACCCGAGTGCCCACCCACCCTGACCCCACCTCGGGTGCCAAGCCCAGGTGAGCAGCATCACGAAAGAGGAGACTCTGACATGACAACCAAGGGAAGGAGCAGGGGGGGAAACACGGAAGGACGCATGGATGCACATGCCATCAGCCATGTCCGCCAAGATGCATCACCCACAGAGGCCGGCTTGCTCACGGGCACAGCAAAAAGCACCCATGTGTTGGGGCTGAGAGGGCAGCTCAGAGGGCCGGTGCGCTTGGCTGGCGAGCTCGGTGAGGCCCCAAGTTTGATGCCCAGCACTGTCTGGCACCCTGAGCTGGGGGTGGTCCTGGTGGCCCCCCAGACAGCTAGGGCGAGCGCCTGCCCTGTAAATAATGCCAGTCTCACCCACATCAAGAAACGGCAACTGGCTCCTATAACGTCTTTTTTTTTGGGTCACACCCGTCGATGCACAGGGGTTACTCCTGGCACTGTACTCAGGAATTACTCCTGGTGGTGCTTGGGAGACCATATGAAATGCTGGGAATAGAACCCGGGTCGGCCACATGCATGGCAAACAAATGTACTACCCGGTGAGCTATGGCTCCAGCCCCAAAAAGTCTTAACCAAGGGGGAAAAAAAAAAAGAGTTCATGCCTACCCCACCCCCCGAAATGAATCAATAATCCATGGTACCTGCACATTTTCGGGATGGTGACTCCAATTTCTGGAGCACATAGTGGGCTTCTCTTTCCCGGGAGCTGATATCGGGGCAGGTTGAACACCACCAGGTCCCGCTGAGATCAGGGACCTCCAGAATGGTAGCCTGGCCCCCCTGTCTCCCACCAGGCGTGTGCTGGCGACTGCAGAAACCCAAAGGCACCAAAGCCCATGCACCCAGGCTGAGTGTGTCCGTGGGCATCTACGCAGAGGACTTGGGGTCTCACAGGTGCTCAGCTGAGTCACAGGCCAGACCCACAAGCAACCGCATAGACCAAAAGCCCACTGGCAGATGGCAGAGCTCAGGGCCTGTACAAAGGTTTACATGTGTAAACATCCAGCTTTAATCCCCCCTCTGGGGACAAAGCTTCTACAGCCAGGGCACATGCAAGCGGGCTGGGGTTCCATAAGGCAATGGGCAGAGGCAGAGGCAAACACACAGCCTGAGTTTGGGCAGTGGGAAGACACCACTGGGGCACTCAACTCTGGGGGGTCTGATCTGCAGCACAATCCATACCCGCAAATCCCTCAGCAACGTGGGCACTCGTAGATTTACACACACACACACACACACACACACACACACACAGATTGGCACATCCCTTAGCTAAGTGGGCACTCGTGGATTTTCACACACACACACACACACACACACACACCAGCACCGACATGCTACAGCCCCACTTGCTGCCAATCTTCTCTGGTGAGCGGAATTTGCAGGGGAAAATGGATCCTTGTTGGAGCCTGACCAGAGTCACGAGGAAGTTCCAGGGATGCTGCCTTGCAAACAAGGCCGTGTCACAACTGCAAACAGCTAGGAACTCTGAGTGAACTGGGCTGGGACCAGCATGCCCTAATGCTGCTGACTTTCGTTAGAGATTAACTGTGCTCCGATGGGATGAAAGTTAAATAAATACCTTACGATTGTGTAGGCTTGCATAGATGTTGATGTGGAATATACGGGAAGGGGGCTGTAAAGATTCACAAGGTGGTCTGATTTACTTCATCATTAGGCAGCGAAATAATATGTACTTTAAGGTGTTTTTGATCTTACCTATTTGATTTTATGTACTCTGGTGTATGCTGGATGTTTTGATCGTCAACCCAATAAAAAGGGGCTACAAAAGCCAGTCAGTGCTAAATGGCCTGAGTGCGCTTCAGCCCTCCGTTGCCAACATTCCACATATCTTGCTTATATCTCTACATCCCCGAGCAATCACTTGAGAACTAACAGATCCTTCCCAGCCCAGGCACACCGCAGCCCCTCTCCCCCCATCCCCCCACATACCGTCAAATACTCAGATATCACTGGACACACAGCTGGGAAAGAAGGCACGAGGGCCGACTTACCAATTGGGTTTCTATCGAAGAACAAGACCGGCGCCTTCAGGATGGACTCAAACATGCGGTTGTGCAAAGTCTGGGAGGAGTTCACCAGGACGTAGAAGACCAGAAGTGACCTTGCTATGCCGAAGATGACGGTGGCCACGGTGAGACCTGCCAAAGAACCATCACTCAGAGAGCTCAGAACACCGAGCCATTCTCCGGGAGCACCAGGCTGCAAACACACTTCACAGCCCATTTTTCCCAAAGTTTCTGGACTCTGCCTGGCTTTGGTTTGCTCACAAGATAAAGGACCAGTGAGTAACATTAATTTATTCTTCTCAAACTGTGTGTGTGTGTGTGTGTGTGTGTGTGTGTTGGGGAAGGGGGAGGAGATGGGACAGTCGTGTCTGATCCACTGTTTCTTACTAGGCTTTGTTATTGTTATTATTATTATTATTATTATTTTGGGGGGTCCCACCCAGCAATGCTCAGGGATTACTCCTGGCTCTGCACTCAGGAATCACTCCTAACGATGATCGGGGGACCATACAGGATGCCAAAGGTTGAACCCCGGTCGGCTGCACTCAAGGCAAACACACCCTCTCAGCTGTGCTATCGCTCTGGCCCCTTTCTAGACTTTCTTTAAGCAATGACAAGTTCTATGTAAAAACCCGTAAATGACCGAGATAAAGCAGAACTGGTTCTTGCCAATTCCCACGGTCCAAATTGTACTATTTACCCTGCCCTTAACCTGAACATGTGGTGCATTTTGTGAGCAATGCAATGACGAACAAGGCAACCGAAGATATGAACTACTGTTTTTTTTTTTTTAGGCTTTTGGTAGAAAAGGCCCAGGTAGCTTTTAAAATATACATTTAAAAACACCCTATGTTGACATGGACACTAGTGAAGGGATTCATGCTAGAACAGTGCACACCTGAAATTCAAATATGGGAGGGAGGGGGAGGAGAGGCAGTGCCATAGTACAGCAGGGAGGGTGTTTGCTTGGCACACAGTGGACCCAGATTTGATCACCAGCACCCCCATGTGATCCTCCCAGCCTGCCAGGAGTGCTCCCTGAACATCACTGGGGATGTAAGGCCTGAGCATCACTGGGGATGACCCAAAAACAAACAACAATCATGAGGAACTTTGTAATTCCCAGCGATTCAATATTTAAAAAAAAAAATCGATATTAAGGGCCAAGTGGAAAAATGTCCTAGTAATGAACTGCAAACAAACAGCTCTCCGTTTCAATGTGACAGCACTCAACTCTACACACAGCTCATCTATGGAGGGTCTGATACAAACAAACGTTTTTGCGTGGAAAGCCTCATGCCTATCACAGGCCCAGGTGAGAAAAAGGGGTTCCATGTGTGTGATAAACACTCCTCCGGGTACGAGGTTGTCTCTTCTGCCGACGCAGGTGATTTAAACTCTAGAAAACCTCTCGGACTACTCAAACTTCCACTGACAGCGTTTCCCTGTATACCCACAGGCCCCAAGAACACAGAACCGGCCGGGTTCCACCTTCCATGGCTCCCGGGCAGCCCAGCGCCTCGGAAGGCATACGGCAAACGGACCTAGATCTCTCATCAAGGACATGGGGAGAGAATAAGCACCAAATCTCACCGAGGGAGCTGGGAACAAAGCCATCCCACCACCACCACCACCACCACCTCTAGGCGGGGACCTTGCCGGAGTGTTAGCCGGTACGGAAGGAGGACAAGATGGGAAATTTTCAATGAGGCTCTCTCCTTCGCCAAGTTGGCAAGAGGACGCCCGGGGCCTCCAGGCGCTCTCGTGGGAAGTGCGCACGCCCGTGCGGTGTTCGTATCAGTCTGGCAACCCCAACGTGCAATTAATCCCACGGTCGGGAACGTGATAACGCTGCGATCTCCAGGTAAGAGAGCGAAGGAATCCTAATTCCCAGGCACGGGCTTGTCCCCTGCTTCGCGCCCCTCCTAGGTAATTAGCGAGGCCCCCGAGAGGAGCGGGGTGGCTTCAGGGAGGTTTGCGGGAACCCGTGAGGGAATAATGCTTTGCTTTCGGGCGGGGAGCAAGAGGGGCGGCGTGCTGTCAGGGGATTTTGCCCGAGTTCAATGGGAGCCGGGGTTTATTCCGACAGAATTGGAACAATTCGAACCACAGGGTGGAGATCCGTTTCTAATCCCCTTGCCCATCCATAGAGTGATAGAAGATTTAGCGGGAGCAAGCCACTCCGAGAGACAATGGGCAGGCAGTTCCAGCGGCTGGCTCCCTGAACGCGCCGTGCTGGTTTACCGCCGACAATCCAGCGCCCGAGCAAATTAAGAGTCTGCGTTCAGCCTCTTTTCTTCTTCCGAGTAGATTTTCGAAATCATTATTCTAATTAATTCGCGGGCTCAATGTGACTCAGACTCTTTAATCGGTTAAGACATGACTGAGTTCCTCCGGGGAGCGCTGCCTCTCACCGCGGCGCATGGTGGGCAGCCCGGCCTCCCGGATAATAGACCTCGGGACTGCACTTTACCTGAATAAATTCCCAAGTACCACTGGAGATCCAGCTCCCTGGTGACATTGCCCACTTCAGGCGCCGTGACGTTCAGAGCGCTCTGCCTGTTCGCCCTGAGGAACGGGGTGAGTGGGGAGGAAATGATTAGACGCCCAAGCAAAGGCACATAAATACATCTGGGGTTTCTTATTGCTGGTATTTTTCCCCCCTCCCTTGTTTTTAATTAACCTGGATGGGAGAGACACATTTTCAGGCTGGAAAAAAAAAACGTGAGAGATGATTTCCCAGCTCACACAGTCCTGATCAAAAAAATGCACATTGGAATCAATCACAACTTGCCCTCCGCCAAAGAGGGATGTGAGGAGGTGGCTGTGGGGTTGAGGCATGGTGGGGAGAGACCATTCTGGATCACATTCCACCACCACCACCTCCAACGTCCTTTTTCCCTCACGTGAACAAGCGAGGATGAGGGAAACCCTTCGGGGGAGCCCCTTCACCCCCCACCCAGAGAAACGGCAGCTTCCTGCCAAGGCTCAGCACTTCCTCTCGGATGAGAATCACTCACCAGTACGAAAGCCACCAGTCCTGAAGGATGTAGGCCACCTACAGAAGGGAGAGAGACGTCCGTCACACGCCAGCAGTCGGTTCCACCTCAGGACTCTCCCCCAGGCCTGCCACAGAGCGAGTTCTGGGAAACCCTTTCCCCACTCCAAAGAGGGCGTGTGCAAGGCCCAAGTCCAGCCCCCAGCAAGCCACGCCAGTGCCCACGCTCCAGCTTTGAAAGGTATCTCGTCCACGCCCCTACCCCCACCCCACCCTGAAGGCGCCACATCTCGTCCGAGAGGCGTCCAGTGCCCCCGGGAGCGCTGGGAATGGCAAATCCAGGCAGCCTTCGGTGTGATCCTCACCCCAGAAAGCCCGGCCACGACGTCTGAAGTGACCCTGCTTAAGCACAGCCCGTGTCTATGGGCCTGACCCCACCTGCGCTCAGGGATCATGAGGCTGCAAACCAGCGTCTGCTGAGCGGGCTGGTTCCTCAGGTGTCAGAAGGCGAAAGAATTCGGGTGGAAATCACGGCCCTCAGCGTGGGGCTGAAGCCCAGCCTTCCCGCCCCTCCCCCGCCCTCTCAGAGCCAATCTCCCCCCTCACCTGGGAGGCGATGTTCACGAGGAGGAGGATGACGATGACAGACCAATGGGCGCCAGCAGTGAAGTAATTCTTGTAGGCCTTGAAGCCCACCCGGCCCTCAGAGCGGCTCTCCTCGGGCACCAGCACCTGCACATTCTCGGGCTGTGGAGGGGACGGGCAGTGAGGGGCCGGCGTGGCTACTTATGGCTGCTACTCACGGGAAACAGGCACCTCATCCAACCCCCCGTGAAGCGGGGAGGGGGAAAAGAGCCCCTCAGCCAGGCAGAAGGGTGAGGATCAGAGACATGTACACCCACCCCTGGGCTGTCCTGCTTCAGGAATCAAGGTGGTGAAGCAGGTTCCATGAGCAAGGCTGCTCACTGGGGGGGCCACACTGTGATGGTGACACAGCGTGAGCCCTGAGCTGGCATGGTCCCCACCACCACCACCACCACCACCACCAAGCAAAACCAACCAAAAATCCGCTCTAAGGAAAAGTGACCTCTTGCCCTCTGCATGACATGGATATTATTCATGAAGGAGGGTCATATTCAGTGAAGTAAGTCAGAGAAAGTGAAAAGAGAAAAAATGAGTGGAAAAAAAATACAGGATGTGACATCACTCATAGACACTCATAGGTGGGTTGAAATAGAAGCCAAGTCAGGAGAAAGCTAAAGTCAGGGGGAGTCTCCAATGCACTGGGGGAAGGTTCATGGAATTTTGCTGGTGGGTGCAGACTGGTTTGGAGAGATCTGAAGCTTGTCTTCAGACCCCTGAGGTGCCGTCTTGGCAACCAAAGATACCTCAATTGAAAAAAAGTTTTGCATGATTAAAAAAATTTTAAGAAATAAAATTAACATTCTGACTAAAAAAAAAGTAATGTGGAGTGCATGCCCAATTCAATCAGCTTAATCAATGGCTAAATAAATAGCAATACTCCTACATTAAAAAAAAAAGTTTTACAAATCATGATTTTTAAGCTCTATACATTCCACGTAAAAGCAAAAGTTGGCTACACAAACACAAAGAGACAAACACACACAGACACACCACACACACAGACCACACACAGAGACACACACAGACACACACACCACACAGACACACAGACACAGTCCACCGTGGACCTCATCTATCACTTCGTGTCATCTGATGGCGGGACACAAATAGTCCCAGAGAAAGGAGTTCATGGGCAAGCTGAAGGAATGAGAGCTTGGGGGGCAGAGGAGGGTCTGAGATCCAGATGAACTGGGGGATGAGGTCTCTGAATCTCAGGGGGGCCCCACTGAGCCTGGGACCGTCGTGAGACCTGAATCAGAGCTCCCACGTAAGCAGGTGTCTGGGCCGCAGTCGTGGGCTATACTGGAGAGTTCTGGCACATTCCTGACTGAGGGAGTAGAAGGCATTCTAGGTTCCAAGAAAGCCCCTGGCTGACTGAGGGCCCCGGGGTCCATGACAGTCAGGTGTGGCTCCAGTCTTGGGAAGGCTGAGGCAGAAATTCAGGCCCTTTGAGCACTTTACTTGTAGCCACGACAGATCGTCTGACAATGGGACAGAAAAATGCCACCAGTAGTGCCACTGGTAACCTGCACAGACGGGGCGGCAGCTGGCCATCGACTCAGCTGAGGGGAGGTGGGGAGGGGCCATCCAGCGAAGTCGTGGACTGCAGAGGGAAGCCTGCGGCCACCCAGCAAGGGGCAAATGCTGAAGTTCTGAGAACCTGTAGCAGCCACAACGGCACAGCTGCTCCTGGTCACCAGAAGGGGTGAAACATCCCCCAGAGAAACAAGTGAAACATCCATGCCAGATGGGGCCCATCAGACGCCAGGAGAAGACCCCCTCTCCGGCTTGCACCCCTCCTTCTGTTCTATGTCTAGCAAGACCTTGGGATGAATTCTGAGAGCTGCAGTCCTCCGGGGGTGGGGGGGCACGGCAGGTGACTTGAGCAGAGCAAACAAGAGGTCCTTAAGACCACGGGGGTCTTAAGAAAATCACAAGAGGGTCCCTAAGATCCCGAGGTGCCTAAAACTATGGGGTCCTTAAGACTATAGGTTCCCTATGATCCCAAGGTCCCTAAAATGCCTATGTCCCTAAAATTATGAGGCCCCAAAGATCACAGAATCCCTAATAGAATGAGGTCCTTAAGATCATAAGAGCCTTAAGATCACAGGTCCTCAAGATCCCATGATCCCTAAGATCCTTAAGATCATACGGTTCCCTAAGATCACAGAGTCCCTCTGATCCTGTGGTCCCTAAGATCACAGGATCCTTAAGATCATGAGGTCCCCAAGATCACAGGTTCTATAAGATCACAGGAGACTTAAGACTATGAGGTCCCTAAGATCACAGGAAATCTATAAGATCATATGGTCCCACAGGGTCCTAAGATCAGGGCTAGAGCGATAACACAGCAGGTAGGGCATTTGCCTTGCACAACCTGAGTTCGATTCCCAGCATCCCATATGGTCCCCCGAGCTCTGCCAAGAGTAATTCCTGAGTGCAGTCAGGAGTAATCCCTGAGCATTGCCAGGTGTGACCCCAAAAGCAAAAAAATAAATAAAATAAAAAATCTAAAAATACTCAGATCAGGGGATCCCTAGGATCACAAGCTCCTTGAGATGACAAGGTCTCTAGGATCAAGGGGACCCTAAGGTCAAGGGGTCCCCAACATCACGAGGTCCCTAAAACTCACAGAGGCAGGACAGCGTGAACAGGAGCGGGACTCACCTCCTGGCCCTCGGGGGCGCCGTCCTTCAGTGAGGGGGGAGAGGAATGCTGCGACCACAGTGAGGACTCCGAGAAGGTCCGCTTCTTCAGCTGGGGCGTCCCCGGTAGTGGCGAGTGATCCGCCTCCTCATTCTCTTTCTTCAAGAGGGAGCCAAAGTCTATGCCAGATTTCTGGAACTCAGCGTAGGTCCCCTTCTGCACCATCTCCCCCTGAAAAAACAAAGAAACGGCACACTGGCGAGGAGGGTGTTAGCGTTCGGTGGACAGGAACCAAGACGCGTAGCCACTGAGCCTCCAGGGTCATCCTGGGGAAACTACACACAGGTCTGCCTCCTGCGGGCCAGTCCGGGGGCTTCTGGGACCTGCCACAGCCATGTCGGCCACTGAGGCCAGGAGACACCTATTGGTCGTGTGTTCTGATAGAAAAATGCACGGGTTTGACCCATACGGGTCCACTTAACGTGAGACTATCTCCCAACGAGAGCAAAAGCACTAGAGAATATCTCCCAACATGTACAAATGCACTAGATGCATTTTCCTTTATGGGTTTTTTTTGGGGGGGGTGTTTTTGAGCCACGTCTGGGGGGGACTGTGGGTTTTGTGTTCAGGGGCCCATGCAGGGCTGGGGACTGAACACAGAGGGTGCTCCCAGCCCTCCGGAGCTCTCTCCAGCCGTCCTTTCTACGCGTTCTCTTCCTGCATGACGGCAAGGCAGCCCTGAATACACACACCTGCATACAAACGCGGGGTTTGTCGGCCACTTCTGTGATCAGCCAGGCTCTGGTTAACAGCCAGCTCTATTAGTTAAGCTTGGGGGAAGTCATAGGTGCATTTTCCACAGTTTGTGGAGAGGGTCGGTGTCCCTCAGGAACCCACTTCATTGCAGTATCGAGCTCTGTATGTGACGGGGTCGCGACCATGTGAAATGCTTGTCTCCCCGAGGGCAGAGCTCAGGCACCTTTGGAAACGGGGAGAGCATTCTCCAGCTCCCCGGCAGCAGTGGGGCAGGGAAGGCATCTCAAGCTGTAGGGGCACAGACTCACAGCCCCACCCCCAGGCGCACTTGTCTGACCAGGGGCTGGGTTCCACGTTATCTGTCTGTCTCTCCTACCAACAAAAGATGCTCTTTCTCTCAACAGAGTGAGACAATCCTCCCTGAAAACCTCCACTTTCCAAAAGCAAAACGGCCGGGGTTCACAGGAGAGGCAAACAAAAACGCTCACATTCCAATGGTCTCCTTGTCCCTGCCCATGCCCTGTGCTGGGGAGTTTGCAGAAGGGACCCAAGTCACATGCAGGATACAAGAAGACACGGCTATGTGACTCTGGACTCATTCTCGAGGACAGGGGCGCAGTGGAGGGCTGTGCAGAGAGGGGTGTCCCCGAGTAAGAGCCCTAACTTCCCTAGGCAGAGAAGAGCAGCCCCCCGGGGTGGGGGACCCAGGGCCCTTCAACAACCGCCCCTCCCCCCCCCCCACCGAGTGCCAGCAAGTTCCACCATCCTTCGCCTCCAGGCATCACTTACATCTTTCAAGATGAGGATCTGACTGGCAGCTTTAAGGTACTGTAGCTGGTGGGTGACCAGGATGGTGATCTTCTCGTGCAGGCTCTGACAGATACACCTGCCAACGGACGAGGCGGGGGAGGACACAAACACATTACTGTGTGCCCCGGAGCAATAGGACAGCAGGGAGGGTGTTTGCCTTGCAGGAAGCCCAGCTGGGTTCAATTCCCAGCATCCCATATGGTGCCCCCGAACATCACCAGGAGTAGTACCCGAGTGCAGAGCCAAGAGTAACCCCTGTGATTGGCCAGGTGTGACCCAAAAAGCTTAGACAGAGAAACTAAAAATATGCAAGGAAGGGGAGGCTCGCCAGTTTGGCTTTTCTCCCTAAAATTCAGCAGAGCCATTGTTGATATCTTTATATCCCAGGAATTTTTGAAATAAAATGTTAAGAGGCATAATTAGAACCGTGCTGCAGCCTAGTCTGCCGATGGCTCTACCTCACAGCTCTGGTTTTCAGCGTAGCCACAGCATGACGCTGAGGCCCAGACAGGAAAGCAGGGAGGAGCATGTGGTGTGGTGTGAACAGACGCCTCGACAGTCCTCTGGGAGCCAGGGCTGCTTTGTGCAGTGGCTGGGCAGGGCCCCTCAAGCTGTGCAAGAACAGGAGGTTGCATGGTGCGGCCCTCGACACTCGCTCCCGCACACCCCACATGCAGGGTGTGTGCATACACCAGTGTGCACGTGTGTGTAGTGTTTGCATGTGAGTGCCTGCATGCACATGTGTGCGTGTCTGTCATGCACACGTGTGGTGTGTGTAGTGTGCATAAGTGCATGCATGTGACATGTTTGTGTGTGACATATGTATTTATGTGGGGTGTGTATAGTATGCATGTGTGCATGCATGCATGTGTACATGGGAAGCATGTGTTTGTGTTTGCGTATGCAGGTGACACATTTGTGCATGTGTGCATGTATGTTTGTATGCATGTGTGTGTGGTGTTTCTATAACATGTTCATGTATGTGCGCACATGTATGGTATGGGTAGTGTGCATGCATGGTTGTGATGTGTGTGAAGTGCATGTTTGAGCACACATACGTGTATATGTGTGACGTGTTTGTGTGTGCTCATGTGTATGTGCCATGCATAGTGTGAATGCATGTGTGTTGTGTGCATGTTTGTGTGTGCCATGTTTGCGTTTGTTGCATGTGCAGTGTGCAGGTACGTGTTTGTGTACATGTATGCATGTGTAGTGTGCATGTAGGCATGTGTTTGTGTGTTCTTGTGTGCGTGGTACGCATGTATGCATATGTCAATGTGTGTGTGTGCATATTTATGTGTGCACACGTATGCACACATGCCACACTCACAGCTCGAACAGGTGCCTGCTGACTTCGGCATCCACGGCACTGAGCGGGTCATCCAGTAGGTAGATGTCAGCATCCTGGTAGACGGCTCTGGAACATGGAGAGGCAGCTCAGCCCCTGGCCCCCACCCCCTGGTCAAATCCCTGCAGCTCCCAGCAACTGACACAGCCTAGGGGGCTGCCCGGAGGCGGCACTTACCTGGCGAGGTTGACCCGGGCCTTCTGGCCTCCACTGAGCGTGGTGCCGCGGTCTCCGATCAGGGTGAGGTCACCGTCCTCCAACAGCTGCAGATCCTGCCGGGAAGAAGGGTACCATCAAACCCCGTGGCCTTTTTCTTCTTGGGGTGTGGGTGGGGTTGGGGGCCACCTCGGGAGCACCCAGAGAGGACTCCCAGTACAAGTATGGGGCAGTGTCTGGCCACTCCCGGGCCTCCTGCTGGCCACCACATGCTGCAGCCAGGATGAGCTGTCCATCCAGGCTGCAAGGTGGACACTCCCCCCAACCCCAGACACTGCCCACGACTGACACACAGTGGGGTTGATATGCGCAAGGGAACACAGTCCTGCCCTTGAGAAAGGGGGGAAGCATGCCTTCAGGGGATGGAGGGACCTGGAGATGATTGTGCGGGTCAATCAGAGTGGAACAGTCAGCGGACTACAGCCAGAGGACGAGGCCAAGACTCAGCCAATGCTAGTTACTTGGGGGTGGAATTAGGGAGCGGGAACTGAGGACAGAATGAACATTAACACTCAGAGGCATGAAGCAAAGCCCCAGATAGTCCATAAGATAACATAATACAAGTCAATTAAAAACGGAGGGAAGGAGTTGGGGCCACATCTGTGGTGTCCGGGCTTACTCCTGACTGCTCGGGACTCACTCCTGACAGTGCTTGGGGTCACTCCTTGTTGTTCGGGGCTCACTCCTGACTGTGCTTAAGGCTCACCCCTGGCAGTGCTCAGGGCTCACTCCTGACAGTGCCTGAACTCACCCCTGGAAGTGCTCGGGGCTCACTCCTGGCTGCTCAGGGCTCACCCCTGGCAGTGCTCGGAGGACCATCTGCAAGGTCAGGATTTAGCCAGGGTTGGCCATGTCCAAGATGGCACACACCCTCCCCCACTGGACCAACTCTCAGGCCCAATGTGAACTAGTGAGTGTGTTTTTAAGAACCACTGTGGATCTGGGGCTAGAGAGGAGGAGGCAGGAGCAGAGCCTCGAACCCCGCGTGGCTCCAGGTGGCGGAACTCACCCCTCGGGGCCATGAGAGGCCAAAGCTTGAGGGAGAGACACCGTCCCTGGCAGGAAGAGGACAGGAGATCCCGACCAGGGAGCCCCGGGGAAGCACAGGGGCCGGGGCCATCGCCTCTGAACCTGACCTACACACATTAGAACTTGACCTTCAATGTTTGCGTCGTTCATTTATACACCTAAGTCTGTTTCACCTGTGAGATGAAGATGGAGACAATAAAACACAAACAAAAGACGCAGAGTGTGAGAAAGTGTGTGTGTGTGTGTGTGTGTGTGTGTGCGCGCGCGCGCGTGCACACGCGGGCACACGTGCAACTGCCTGGTGTGTGCATGAGTGTGTGTACATGTATGTGCCTGTGTGTGAGTGTGTGTGGTGCATGTATGTGCCTCTGTGTGTATGCGTGTACAGTTCTTATATGTGCCTGTGTCTGGGTGCATGCATAACGGTGCATGGGTGCGTATAGGTGACTACCTGTATGTGACTGCATGCATGAGCGTGTGTGTGCACGAGTATGAGTGCCTGTGTGTACATGAGTGCATGTGTGTAAGTGCATGGATATGTATATGTACAAGTGAATGTGTGTGAGTACATGTGTGTTAGTACAAATATGTATATGCATGTGAGTGAATGTGCGTGCATTAGTATGTCTAAGTGCATGGGTCTGAGTACATGTGAGTTCACGTATGTGCATGTGTGTTTAAGTGCATGTGTGAGTGCATGTGTGCAAGTGAGTGCATGAATAACTGTGAGTGTGTGAGTGCGTGTGCTGTGCACGTGTGTGTGTGTGTGTGTGTAATATGCGCTTCTGAGGGTGGCAGTAAGCCAAAACTGCTGTCCCTTCCGTCTGGCCCTGACCACTGAGCTGACCCCCCCTTCCTCCTTCTCAGCCCATTACCCGGGCAGTGATGTTCTCCTGCCCCCCGCCCCCGGGGCCCCGACCCTTGGGGGTCCCTGTGGGATATGCTCCCGGAAGAGGCCTCTCCCCTCCACACACCATTCCGCACTTCCTCGCTCCACCCGGGAAGCCACGGGCACAGGAGAAAGGCACGGCAGGACACCGCAGCCCTTGGCCCCAGGAGGCCCCTTTCAGGCCTTTCTTGGCTGGGCTTGGAGCCCCAGCAGTGGCCAGCTCCACACTGACCCCTCCTCGGCCCCCCACCACCTGCTCTTTGTTCCCATCCTTTCTCTGACCAGGAAAGGCGCCTGATCTTCCCTACCCTCCACTGAAGGCCCAGCGGCCTGTTCTTTGTGGCGGGGTGGGGGTGGGGGGACATGGGGGGGAGCCTTCAGAGGCATCCACAGAATGGAGGAGCAACCACAGAGCACTCCCCATCTCTGAACAACAGACTGTCAGAACAGGGAAACAGGCCGGCCAGTTGCTGTGGTCGCTCTCCTCGTCCTGGGGAAACTAAGGCACCTCTGAAGTTCCCACGAGGTATGGGGATGAGAAGAAGCCCAGCCTCAGTGCAGGACAGCGGCCACTGTCCCCAGGTTGCAGGGGGTGGAGTGGGAAGCGGGGCTTGCTTGTGGCCGACCTGGGTTCAATTCCCAGCATCCCATATGGTCCCCTAACCCTTGCCAGGAGTAATTTCTGAGTGCAGAGCCAGGAATAAGCCCTGAGCATCACTGGGCTGGGCCCAAATACCTACCAATAATAAAGTTAAATGAAAAATAAAAAGAGAAGTCAAAGTGAATGGAATGATATCAGAAAATGGAATCTAAACATAATGAATATAATAAAATATAAAAATAATGGGGGCCAGAGCAATAGTCCAATGGAGAGGGTACTTCCTTAGCACGCAGCCAACCCGGGTTCGATCCCCAGCATCCCATTTGGCCCCCTGAGCACCTCCAGGAGTCATTCCTGAGTGCAGAACAAGGAATAACCCCTGAGCATTGCCCGGTTAAAGCAGAAACAAATTACTTAATTAAAATTAAGGGGTGGGGGCTGCAGGTTGGATACTGGGAACATTGGTGGTAGAAAATGGGCACTGGTGGAGGGATGGGTGCTTGGTCATTGTACGACTGAAACATAATCACAAAAGTTTGTAGGTCTGTACCTAATATCTCACGGTGATTCGTTAAAAAATAAAAAAATTTTTAAAAAATAGAGGATTGGAGCAATAGGCAGGGCATTTGACTTGCATGTGGCCGACCCAGGTTCGATCCCCAGCATCCCATATGGTCCCCTGAGCACCGCCAGGAGTGATTCCTGAGTAACCCCTGAGCATTGCCGGGTGTGACCACCACCACCCACAAAATATATATATATATATATATATATATATATATATATATATAAAATATCAGAAAATCCCACCCCGCGACCTTTTTATTTGCGGGGGGGGGGGGGGGGGGGGTTTGCTGTTCCTGCCCACTCCACACAGCGAGGCCCCAGAGGAGCGGTCAGCACGAGTGACGTCCCTGCCCGCGTCCCCGCTCACCTTCTTCAGTGCGCAGGCCTTGATGACGCGCTCGTAGCGCTCCTTCTCGTACTTCTTCCCAAACAGGATGTTGCTCCTCACAGTGCCTGAGAACACCCAGGGCTGCTGGGACACGTAGGCGACGCTGCCGTGGGCGCTGACCCTGCCCTGGCTGGGCGGCAGCTCGCCCAGCACGGCACTCAGCAGGGACGACTGGAAGACAGGGAGGGGGGACATGGGAGGGACGGGAGGCCCCGTGGTCAGCCCAGCCGCTCCCGCGGGAACTGAGCCCCTCCCCCCACCAGGACCCCAAAGCAGTCAGAGACGCCCCCAACCTCCTACACGGGGTCTTCGGCAGAAAGACTCTCAGCTGGGCGGGCTGCAGCGGGGTCCAGGAGAGATCACACATGGCCCCGGGGGTTCAGGAGAGATGGGGCAGGGCCAGCAGCAGGCGACCTATGTGGCCAGCTCTAAAGGTTCGGAAGGATCCGACCAGAGTGTCGCCCCATTCAGCGCGCACCCATGTGACCAGGCAAGAATGCGGCTGGAGGGGCCAGAGCCATAGCACAGCGGGTAGGGCAATTGCCTTGCACGCGGCCAACCCGGGTTCGATTCCCAGCATCCCCTGAGCACTGCCAGGGGTAATTCCTGAGTGCAGAGCCAGAAGTAACCCCTGTGCTTTGCCGGGTGTGACCCAAAAAGAAAAAAAAAAGCCCACTAGTTCCAGAAGATTCTCTAACTACACAGGACACAAAGGCAGCCCCCAAGGGCTGGCAGTGGCTCCTAGCCAGAGCTCCAGCCTTGTGACCCCTGGTGGCCCTGGAACTGTCCCCTGACCGCAGCTCAGAGGACAGCCCTGCAAAGGGACCCTCGTTCCTGGCTAACAGGCACTGGGCCCCGTGGAGAGGAAGCCCAACCCAGGCAGGGTGGCAGTAAGCTAAAGCTGCTGTCCTTTCCGCCTGGCCCTGACCACTGAGCTGACGCCCCCTTCTTCCTCCTCAGCCTGTCACCTGGGCAGTGATGTCCTCCTGCCCCCCCCACCCCCCAGCCCCAGGACAACAGGAAGCCCAAGGAGGAAAACCAGAGAGAACACTTGGAGAAATGCCCTCTGCGCACTGCCCCTGGGGAAACTGAGTCCCAGGGAGCTCCAGGCTCTATCCCAGGATGGGGGGGAGGGGTGGCAGGCCCTGAGAACATCACACACTCACCTTCCCGGCACCCACGGGCCCGACCACGGCCAGGAGCTCCCCGGGCCTGACGGTGAAGGACAGCCCATGCAGGGTGGGCGTCTCCGAGGCCTGCAGACACAAGGGGTGGGAACAGCATTAGAGGGACAGAGAAACACACATGTGCTTGGCACGTGGGGGACAGGAGCCTCCTCCTTCCCTCCCAGGCACTGGGTGGGGGTTGCAGCCTCAAGTTCTTCTGCCTGCTCATACCTCTAAGGCGTTTTGAAGAAAATCGAGCCCTTGGGGTGTGAGAGATAGTACAGGCTGACCCGGGTTGGGTCCCAGGCATCCAGGGGACCAGAAGGCCAGGAAAAGTGGCCCATAATTGGGAGCCTACCCCAAGTACTGGGGGAGAGGGCAGCTGGGACAGAGAGGGACCACTATGACACACTGTCACTGTCACTGTCCTCCCGTTGTTCATCGATTTGCTCGAGCGAGCCCAGTAACATCTCCATTGTGACACTTGTTGTTACTGTGTTTGGCATATCGAATACGTCACGGGGAGCTTGCCAAGCTTTGCCGTGCGGGCGGGATACTCTCCGTAGCTTGCCGGGCTCTCCGAGTGGGGGCGGAGGAATCGAACTCGGGTCGGCCATGTTGGCCGCTTGCAAGGCAAACACCCTACCTGCTATTGCTCCAGCCCACTATGACACAGAGAGTTGGAAATGATCACTCAGGAGGTGATCACCCAGATGGTGCCCCAGCACTGCCAGGAGTGATCCCTGACTGCAGAGCTACCAGCCACGCCTGAGCACTGGCAGGTGTGGGAGGAGGGAGGGAGGGAGGGAGGGAGGGAGGGAGGGAGGGAGGGAGGGAGAAAAAGAAGTGAGGTTGCTAGGGAGAAAGGAAGGAAGGAAGGAAGGAAGGAAGGAAGGAAGGAAGGAAAAGGAGGAAGGAGGGAAAAGGAGGAGGGAAGGAGAAGGAAGGGGAAGGGGAGATCAGGAGACACGCAAGCCTGTCAGCAGCCTGGCGGATGAAGAAAGCCCTGGGCAAGCGAACTTTAAGCGCAGACACAGCACAGCACCTAGATGCAGTCTGGCCACAAAAGCCTGCGAAAGTAACTGTCCGGGTTCCCATACAAAGGCCGCGGACACGGTGTTGGGATGACCAAGGCCACCTGGCGAAGGCTAGGGTCCTCCAGGACCACACCAGTAAAATAACACAATACCAGACCCAGGAGGATTTCATCTCTGATACCGGGCAGTGAGGTGCCTATTTCAAAGTCAGCCACCAGGTGGCAGCAGTAGAACACAGCAGGCCCGGCCATGGCTAACGTTCAATCAACAAGTGCCTCTCTCAGCCTCAGTCCCCAGAGTGACCCACAGCTGATGCCACCGGGTGACTTTCCGTTCTAAAGTCACTCCTGCAAACTCACAGGAGCAGCTGCAGTGACATCACAGTGAAGAGGGTGCCTGCCTTGCCCACGGCTGGCTCACGTTTGACCCCTGGCATCCCATATGGTTCCAAGTCCACCCATGGTGACTGGGAGCGCAGAGGTCAGAGTAAGTCCTGACCTATACCTGGTCTATCCCAAGGACAAATGTAAAGAAAAAACCCTCACGTGAAAAGAGGGCAAGGCTGGGGTCAAGGGCCTAATCTGACAACAAAACTGGGCAACAGAGAATCTAAGAGCCTTGGGTCGATCGACTGGTTAAAGAAACTGTGGCACATCTACACAATGGAATACTACGCAGCCACCAAGAAAAGTAAAGTCATGAAATTCGCTTATAAATGGCAGGACAGACAGAGTATCATGTTGAGTGAAATGAGTCAGAAGGAGAGAGAAAGACGTAGAATGACTGCACTCATTTGTGGAATACAATAGAACATAGTTTGAGACTAAGACCCAAGGACAGTAGAGACAAGGGCCAGGAGGATTGGTCCACAGTTGGAAGCCTGCCTCAAGTGCTGAGGGAGAGGGCAGTTGTGATAGAGAATGGAACACTATGTCACAGAGAGTTGGAAATGATCACTCAGGATAAGAACTGCATGCTGTGGGGCTGGAGAGATAGTACAGCGGGTAGGGCATTTGCCTTGCACACGGCTGACCCGGGTTCGATTCCCAGCATCCCATATGGTCCCCTGAGCACCGCCAGGAGTAACTCCTGAGTGCAAAGCCAGGAGTAAGCCCTGAGCATCTCCGGGTGTGACCCAAAAAGAAAAAAAAAAAGAACTGCATGCTGGAAGTCGGTAAAGGAACAAACATGATAACCTCTCAGTACTTGTACTGTAAACTATAACGTCCGGAGAAAGAAGGTGTCTGTCATAGAGACAGGCTGTGTGGGGGGAGGGAGTGGGGACACTGGAGGTGGGAAATGTACACTGGTGAAGGGACGGGTGTTGGAACATTGCGTGACCTAAACCCAATCATGAACAGCTTTGTAACTTTGCATTTCAGTTAAAAAAAAAAAAAGTCACAGGTCTGAGAGAGAAGTTTTGTTTTTCTGGTTTTTCTTAAAATTTTTATTAGTGATATTAGTGAAACACCATGAGGTACAGTTGTAGACTAACAAATTTTTGTGCTTGGGTTTCAGTTACACAATGATCCAGTACCCATCCCTCCACCAGTGCTCATTCTCCATCATTTACATTTTTTTTTTAATTTTTGTTAGTGAAACACCATGAGGTACAGTTGAAGATTTACAAATTTTTGTGCTTGGGTTTCAATTGTACAATGATCAAGTACCCATCCCTCCACCAGTGCCCATTTTCCACCACCAAGGGTCCCAGCATCCCTCCCACCCCCCATCCCCCCATTCCACCCTGCCTCTGTGGCAGGGTATTCCCTTTTGTTCCTGAGAGAGAAGTTTTGATCTTATGCTTGGCGCATTGGGACAAGTACTGGGGGACGGGGGGAGTGTCTCAGAGATACAGAGGCTACAGGTTGGGCCATACAAAAGAGAAGAGGGTGAAAGTGCTTAGGGTGCTGCCCCAAAAGCATCTTCAAGAACTGCCTGAATGGGGCTAGAGCGATAGCACAGCGGGTAGGGCGTCTGCCTGGCACACAGTCGACCTAGGTTGGATTCCCAGCATCCCATAGGGTCCCCCGAGCACTGCCAGGACTCATTCCTGAGTGCATAAACCAGGAGTAACCCCTGTGTATCGCTGAGTGTGACCCAGAAAGAAAAAAAAAACTGCTTGAAAACCCTGCTTGAAAATTCAGCAGTGGAAAGACACAAGCCTATGTTGGAAAACCATCAGAAAAATCCTCAGACTTGCCCGGAAGTGAATCGGCCCTGTGGACCTACCTCCAAACCACTTGGTTCTGTCCCCAGCACCAGAAACAAATCAAAACATCCAAGAAAGCACACAGGAAGCAAAGTGGACATGCAGGATTAGGAAAACAAAACAAAACAAAAAAAACATAAAATAACAAAACCCAAGCCTCAAGCCACCAGGAAAACTTAAAGGCCTGGGTACGGTTCCAAGTAAGAAAGTGTCTCTGCCAAAGAGTCACTTGCTGACTGGAGATCACATCCCCGAACAAGGACGATGTCTCCTAATCCCGGAAGGCAGCCTCTGATTTACAGGAGCCACCAAAAGCATCCTCATAAGCAAGCCGGACTTTCAAAGACGTGGTGAGTTCCAGAAGTGTCACTGCCCCCTTTTAAGTTTCTCATGAGGACCCGGGGCACCCCAGAGTAGGATGGGTGAAACCCCTCCCTGCCTCAAGGGACCCAGCCCCCGCAGCCAAAAACCTCCAGAACTCAGCCACCACCCAGCTCACGTCTGCTCTCCACAAGCTCGGGCCGAGCCTCACCCATGAGTAAATCTATTCCAAACCACACACCCCACCCATACTCCAAGATGACCGCACCACATTTGATAGGGGTCAAAGCAGGAGGTAACCAATCTTAGAGGGAAACATATATATTTTGGGGGGGCTGGAGAGATAGCACAGAGGGTAGGGTGTTTGCCTTGCACACGGCCGACCCGAGTTCAATTCCCACCATCCCATGTGGTCCCCGGAGCACTGCCAGGAGTAACTCCTGAGTGCAGAGCCAGAAGTAACCCCTGTGCATCGCCAGGTGTGACCCAAAAATCAAGAAAGAAAGAAAGAAAGAAAGAAAGAAAGAAAGAAAGAAAGAAAGATATATTTTTTACAGATGAGCAATAGCACAGTGGGTAGGGCATTTGCCTTGCAAGCGGCCATCACGGCCGACCCGAGTTCGATTCCTCCACCCCTCTCGGAGAGCCCAGCAAGCTACTGAGACTATATATCGCTCGCATGGCAAAGCCTGGCAAGCTACCCGTGACGTATTCAATATGCCAAACACAATAACAAGTGTCACAATGGAGACGTTACTGGGCCCACTCGAGCAAATTGATGAACAACGGAAGGACAGTGACAGTGATATATATATAAAGCCCACAAGGCTCAACCTTTAACAACACGTTACTGATCTCTTATAGAAAGGCCATTAAAGGCCCCTGGGTGAAATACAACAACCTCCACACTCTTTCCTCTAAGGATACTTTTTTTGAAGCATTTTCAGCAGTTTTTCATAACAAACAATACAAAAATTATGAGATTTCAGTTCGGCTTTGGGGCAGGGGTTGGGGTTTGGGATGGAAACATCCGAAATATGGTGGTGGGAAGGTGTCATGGTGGTGGGATTGGCGTTTGAATGTTAAATCTAATGAAATAGCGCTAACTACTTTATAAAATTTTTAAAAATTAAAAAACAACAGTTATAAGTTAAAAAAAAAAGTTTCCTGTGAGGAATTTCTATCTCACTGACTCGCAGAAACGGATCAAGAACAAACGTGGCAGGGCCGTATCAACCGCACAGTGGGAACAGCGTGTGCCTGGAACACGGCCAACTGGGGTTCAATCCCTGATATTCTGAGCTCCACCAGGAGTAATTCCTGAGCAAAGAGCCAGGAGTGACTCTTGAGCACTGCCGGCCCAGAACAACAATAAAACAAAACCATCACTGCTTGACCCCACCCCCCCAAATTAGTGTCTCCTGGGGGTTCTGGTTGGGGGTGGGGTGGGCAAATGGGACTTTTCTCTCCCCTCCTGTGGCTTCTTGACCAGGCAGTGCTCAGGCCCGACCAGCAGGGGGCAGCACTCGACAGCTCAGGGGTGATGGTTCCTTCAGTTCAGGGTAGGTCACTGAGTGCTGCAGCCAGTGCACCATCACTCGGCTGAGCTCTGAGTGACCAGCATGTCCAAGGCCATATGCCAGGATTGCTAATGAAGCCCCCATGATTGCCGGAGTTCCCAACAAGCCCCACGGGGGGCAGCCGTACCCCCAAGCAGCACCCGGGTGGCCGAGGGTGTGGGGGGAGAGAGGGCGGTGAGTTACCTTGTCCCAGAAGGCTGTGAGGTCCTGCACGCACAGCTGCACTTTCCCCTCAGAGGCCAGCAGGGGCGGGGGCCGCGCGATCTCGTCCAGCAGCAGAAAGTTCTAGAGAGAAGGAGGCACAATTGGCCCACAGGGCACGGCACCCAAGGGCAGGAAGGAGGAAGGGCTTTCCCAGGGGCTGGCCCCGAAGGCTCCTGGCATAGAGAAACCCCTCGGGTGTGCTGGCCTTTGGGGTCCCTGTCCTTCCCCACGGTGGTGCTGCCTTGGTCATAGGTGTGTAGTGATATGTGCATGTGGGGGTGGGGGGGTGGTCACACACAGGACTGAGAGTGGAGGGGGGCAGAGAAAGCAAACCATAGTCATAGGTCTCATGGGCACTGCTGGGGTGGAACCTGAGTATATGTGTGTGTGTGTGTGTGTGTGTGTGTGTGTGTGTGTGTGTGTGTATAACTCGGGACCTGACTGTGTATGGCTGTGTGTGTGTGGTGTCTGTGTGTGTAATTCAGTACCCCATGTGTGTCTGTAATTCAGGACACCCGTGTGTGTGTGTGTGTGTGTGTGAGAGAGAGAGAGAGAGAGAGAGAGAGAGAGAGAGAGAGAGACAGATGCCGCCCGAGGAAACCACCTTTGTGGCTGACTCTAGGTTAGTCCCCTGCACGCCTCTGCTGGGGAGCGAACACAGGCAAAGCATCCCTGCGATGGAGCCCAAAGCCCCACCAGCCAGCCAGCTCACCAACCAGCTGGCCCCTGAGAAAGAGGCAGGTCCCCAGGGCCCCGGCCCGGCAGATCCCCAGCTGGGACCCCCCCAGCCCCTGCTCCTCACACCATGGAGACCATGAGCAATCCAGACCCGGTAGGATGGGAGAAACCAACCGCATGCCCCCAAAGGCAGAGACCCAGCACACAGACTCCCCCAGAAACGAGTCACAGCTCGAAGATGAGGACAAGACAGGTGGCAGCTGGGGACGGGGACTGGGGGGTGGGGGGAATGGCAAGGGGATGCAAGAAGAGATGGATGGAGACGGGGACATGGTATGGGGCCGGGGGGGGGGGGGGCGGTGCAGAAGCCCAGCTCTTTTCCATCTGGAGCCCTGGGCGTGGGCTGCTGCCCTGCCCGTGGACAGGAGCCTGTGGGTGCAGCCCCCTCCTGCCCCCCACGGGACCCAGCAGAGGAAACATCTGCTTGTCCTACTCTGGAACATTCCAAGGGCACTGAAGACCCCCATCCGCTCCCGGGACCCCAGATCACCAGCAATTGGGACCGTCTTGTGGGCGGTGGGGGGTCTGGGGGCTCAGACCGTGCTGAGCAGGGGGTGTGAAAGACAGCGACCCCCCCACCCCACCATGGCGGGAGACCTGCCTCCCTAACCCCCCTGCCCCACACCTTGATCCTCCGGATGCTGACCACAGCTTCCGACACCTTCTCGATGGCCGACGGGAAGAAGAGGGTGACGGTGAGGCGCACGGCGCCGTACAAGGTGACGGCCACGAACACGCGGCTGGCCGTGATGGTGTGGCCCAGGAGCACGTACGCGGTGAAGGTCACGTATACGATGATCTTGCTGGCCGCGAAGAAGGATGCCAGGTTCATGCCCCGCAGGTAGGAGCTGCGTAGGACCTTGGAGATCTCCTTCCTGGGGCGAGAGAGGGGGGTGGCGGCCAGGGGCGAGGTCACGGGCGAGGTCAAGGCTGAACCCCTCCCAGGATAATGGGGGGGGGCCTTCAGCCACACAAACCTTGCAGAGCCCACGCTGCTGAGTGGGATGGCCGGGGGGGCGGGGGTTACCGCTCAGTCCCCAGCGGACGCGGCCACCCTCACACAGTCACATTTGGGAATCCCAGGGCCGGGTCTGAAGACCATCCTCACCAGCACAGGCCCACAGGGCGGGGAGCAGCCGGCCCACACCAGGACCCCCGGGAAGTGGATGGGAATGGCCAGGGACACAGCGAGGGATGGAGAGAACAGCAGCTGGTCGAACCCGGGCCACAGCTCCAGAAGAACGAGGGCTGGACGAGGGTGAGGCGGAGCAGAGGGCAGGAGGGTCTCGAGGCACCAGAAGGCAGGGGGCACCCACCCACCCGCAAAAGAAGGGGAGATGGAGATGGGGTGGGAACGGCATGGGGCAGGCTGTCAAGTGCAGTCAGAGGGGCAAATGCATCCACTCCGGGAGCAGAGACGGAAAGGAACCAAGACACATTCGCAGGAAGAACCGAGGGAGGCGTGTCCCCGTCCGGTGTCTGGGACGGAGCCGAGACCTCATTCCACCAAGTCCCCATCACCCTGATCTCCAAACTTGAAGTTAATGGGTGTTTTGTTTTGGGGTTTCTGGGGGGGGGGGGGTTTGGCTTTTTGGGTCAGACCCGGCGATGCACAGGGGTGACTCCTGGCTCTGCACTCAGGAATTGCTTCTGGCGGTGCTCAAGGGACCATATGGGATGCCGGGGGATCAAACCTGGGTTGGCCGCATGCAAAGGAAACATCCTCCCTGCTTTACTATTGCTTTGGCCCCCTGAGGTCAACGTATATAGCGCATCTGGTCCAAAGGCCTTCAGCCCTCTCTGCGGGCTTCAGATCTTGGGCGCCAACCCCAGGGACTCGGCCCATGTGACAGAGTCCATGCCACAAGACCTTGAGGCGCCAAGTCTGGTTCCCAGCAGTCACAGCTCCAAGAGAAGAGCTCAGAACCATCAGGGGGGAGCGTGACCCAGAGAGGCCCCAGGCCATGCCACTGGGGGTGACTTCCGCTTCATTTGCAAAACAATGAAAGGAACTAGCAGAATGGCCCAGGGAAGCCTGAGGAACGTCATTCATGTCACCCCACCACCCCGTCCAGGGTGAGGGCTGGAAGGCTCAGCCCGGCCTCTGGAGGGTACCCAACGAGGGTGAGAAGAGACAGGGCTGAGGCAGTAGTGGGCAGCTCACAGGGGATAGACACAGCAGGGCAGAAATGACAAGATGCAAAGGGTGGGACGCAGGGGCGGGGGGGGGGGGGGGCACAGACGTACTTCCTATAGCCGGTGATGAGATCAGCGAAGGACTTCTCCCAGGCGTACATCTTGATGATCCTTATGCCTGTGATCACTTCGTTCATGGTCCGGATGCGGATGTCTGTGAACGCTGCCGTCTTGCTCCTGGGAGGGACACGGGCGCGAGGGAAGCATCAGATACTCCGCCTGGCTGTGCTCAGGGGCAGTGGGCACTGCCCAAGGCATGGACCCTTCGCTCCTCCCCAGGCCCCCCGCACCACACAGATGGCCAAGACTTAGAAAGCCGAGACAATGCACACCTCAGGAAACCATGCAGAGGACTTGCAGAAGGCTAGGTGGGTGTGTATGTGTGGAGAGAGAGAGGGAGAGACTGTGTGTGTGTGTGTGTGTGTGTGTGTGTGTGTTTGTGTGTAGAGAGATAGAGTGTACGTGTGGAGAGAGAAATGGAAAGAGACAGAGTATGTGTATATGTGTGCGTGTGGAGAGAGAGGGAGAAACTGTGTGTATGTGTGTGTGTGTGTGTGTGTGTGGGAGAGAAAGAGAGAGAGAGAGAGAGAGAGTGTGGGGGGGGGGGGTGAAGAGAGTATCCCGTGTGTGGAGAGAGCATGCGTATGTGGAGAAGAGTGTATGTTTGGGGAAAGAGACAGTGTATGTATGTGTGGAGAGAGAGGTAGAGGGAGAGGGAAAGTGTGTGTGTGGAGAGAGAGTGTGTGTGGAGAGAGTGTGTATGTTTGAAGAGAGAGACAGTATGCATATGTGTTGAGAGAGATGGAGAGGGAGAGTGTGTATGTTTGGAGTGTGTGAAGAGAGAGAATGTGTGTGTATGTGTGTAGCACTGCACTGTCCTCCTGTTGTTTGTGGATTTGCTCGAGCGGGCCCCATAACGTCTCCATTGTGAGACTTGTTATTGTGTTTGGCATATTGAATATGTCATGGGGAGCTTTAAGAAAATGTGTGTTGTGTGTGTGTGTGTGTGTGTGTGTGTGTGTGTGTGTGTGTACACAGAGAGAGGGAGAGTGTGTGTGAGGATTGGGAGAGAGTCTGAAGAGAATGTGCGGTGTGTGTGTGTGTGTGTGTGTGTGTGTGTGTGTGTGTGTGTGTGTGAAAAAGAAAAAGAGACAGAGAGAGACAGACAGACAGAGAGTACTCATGCCTCAACATGAGAGTGCCTGGGTTCGATCCTGGCACTAAGAAAGAAAATGGGCAAGATACAGAGTCCCCCATGGGATACTACAGCACTGCACTGTCGCACTGTCCTGCCATTGTTCACCGATTTGCTCAAACAGGCACCAGGAACATCTCCATTGTGAGACTTGTTCCCCTTTTCGGCATATCGAATACGCCACGGGGATCTTGCCAGGCTCTGTCTGGCGGGATACTCTCGGTAGCTTGCTGGGCTCTCCGAAAGGGACGAAGCAATCGAACCCGGGTCGCGCGCATGCAAGGCAAACGCCCTACCCGCTGTGCTATCACTCCAGCCCCATGGGATACAGGAGGAAAATATGCACCCCAGGAAGACAAAGATTCGTCATAAGCCTGAGTCCCTCACCAGAGTTCTGGCCCCACCGGTCAGAGTGTGCGCCCAGAGTTTCTGTCATTTGGGTCCCAAAGTGCCACAAGAGAAAAATAGGCACCCCACAGGCCAGAGCAAAACCCCAGTGGGTAAGGCACTTGTCTTGCATGTAGCCAACCTGGGTTCAATCCCCGGCATCCCAGATGGTCTCCCAGACCCACCAGGAATAATTCCTGAGCACCACCCGGTGTGGCCCCCAAAACAAAACAAAATAGAAAAAAAATTGGCCTGGCCCATGGCCACTAAGTTTCTCTGACAGCTGCAGTGAAGGTGTCTACGGCCCTGAGTGACTGAGTGTGCAAGTGTGGGCCACAGCAGAAACGAGACAAGGGGGAAGCCAGAGGTGTGAGGAAAATCAAGACTGGGTAGGTAGAGGGGAGTTCGGGCCTCACCCGGCGGTGCTCAGGGTTTAATCCTGGCTCTGTGCTCAAGGAGCACACCTGGTGGGGCTCGGCGCACCATACACAGTGCCAGGCACGGAACCGATGTTGGCTGCATGCAGGGTATGTTCCCTACCCTAACGGATATGCTATCTCTGTGGCCCAAAACTAACAATGATTTTGAGTTTTAATTTTTTTAATTGATTGAGGTTCTATGATTTACAGTAGTGTTTTATTTTTTAATTGATTCAATGAGATAGAGTTATGAAGTTGTTCATGATTGGGTTTCAGTTCTATAATGCTCCAACACCCGTCCCTTCATTAGTGTACATTTCCCAACACCAGTGTCCCCAGGTTCCTTCCCACCCACCTCTATCACCTCTCTCCCTCCTCTCCTCTCCTGCTCTCTTTCTTTCTCTCTCTCCCCCCCCCTTCCCTCTCTCCCTCATTGTAGTTCACAATATAGATACTGAAAGGTTATCATGATACTAGAACTTTTTATCTACTTGTAGCACTCAGTTCTTATCCAGAATGATCATTTACAACTATGACTGTCACAATACTCCTTTTTCTACCCTAACTGCCCTTCACCCCTGTCAAACACACACACACATACACACACACACACACACGTGGCAAGCTTCCAGCCATGGACCAGTATCCAGTATTGATTTACAATGCTGCCAATGGCAATTTTTCATGCACATCATGCCAACATCACACCCCTCACAGTCGGCCCACCTAAATGATGTTTTCAAAGGGCTGGAACACACACCTCGCGGGACCCTGAGTCTGATCCCTAACACTCCACGGCCCCCAGAAGCACCACTGGGTCCCCATGGAGGCCCCTAGCACCATCGTCTCGAGCACTGGACAGTGTGCCAGGGCTGAGCAGTGTCACCAGGAGTACCCGGGCCCAAGCACACACACACAGGAAGGAGCATACTGGGCCAGGCCCTGGCAAACAGGGACAAGAAGGAGTGTCAGTCCCAGAAGAACAGATAAGGCCCGGGAGCAGACAAGCGCTGTGGGCAATGCCCCCGCCCATGGCCCCCCACCCCCTCACCCACTTGCTCCGCCAGGCTCACTCCTCACAGGGCCCTTCCCACCACTGACACTGCCCCACAGACACCAGCCAGATCGACCTTGACCTCAGCGAGCTGGCTTCTAACTCAAGACTATAAACCACACACACACACACACACACACACACACACGCACACACACTCTGAAACTGGTTCTCACCAGAGTAACAACAAAAACAACCAAAAAAGCAGTTAAGAATGGACTCAAAAATGTATTTCACTTTTAGTACCTGTATTGCAAAGCACACTGACGAGACGGGGGAGGAAAGGAAAGGAGGAGGAGGAGGAGGAGGGGAAGAGTAGGGAGGGGAGAGAGAGAGAGCGAGAGAGAGAGAGAGAGAGAGAGAGAGAGAGAGAGAAGGAAAGTGCCATAGAGGCGGGGTGGAAGGGTCGGAGGGAAACTGGGGACACTGGTGGAGGGATGGGTGTTGGAACACTGTATAAATGAAACTCAATCATGAACAGCTTTGTAATTGTGTATCTCACAGTGATTCAATTTAAAAAAATTGTTTTGACATGGTATTGCAAGGTATTCCTCCTCCACACACATAAACACACAGACATACACACACACACACACACACACACTCATACACAATCTCTCAGACACACGCTCACATACACACATCACACATACACATGCACTCATAGACTCTCACTTTCTCACACACATACACCCTCTCTCTCTCTCTCTCTCTCTCTCTCTCTCACACACACACACACACACACACACACACGCTTCTCTTACCGGAGGGACGAGAACACCTTCCCGATGCAGCTCTGCAGCGGCAGGAGGATCAGGAGCACGGCCATCCCCGCCAGGCAGGAGATCCCGATTTCCATCCAGAGCAGGGCGGTCACCGCGATGGCCTGCAGCGGCCCTGCCCACAGAAAGTGCAAGAATATCGTCACCTTAAAAGAGAAGGACAAGCTGCTTAGGAGCGGCCGTGGGAACATCGCGGGAGACAGTTCTGTCGGCGAGGCCGGGTGAGACCAGGTGGCGACCTCAACTGGAGAGAAAACCAGGGTGGATTTCGCAGTTCTGTTTTTTTTGTTTTGCATTGGGCCACATTGGGCAGTGCTGGAGTGTACCACTGGCTGGCTCTGTGCTCAGGGGCCTCCCTCAGTAGCGCTGGGGGACCGGACCCTAGGGTGCCAGGAACAGGACCTGGCCTCCTGCATGAAGAGCCTGCAAAGTGTGATGGGTTTAAGGTCTTCAAATCTTCTTGTTAGGAGAGCCAAGAGCCAAAGTCTGAAAACAACTCAAATGCCCATGAACAGGTGAACTGGAAAAAAACTAGGATCCACAGACACTGTGGAATACTACGCAGCCCTAAGAAAAGACAGAGTCGTGCAATTCTGCTGCAGTGTGGATGGATCTGGAGGGTATCACATTGAGTGGAATCACTCAGAAGGAGAGGAGCAGACCCAGAACGCTCTCTCCTATGTGGAGTATCAAGAAACCGCAAATGGCACTGAAATAAAGAGCAGAAGTAAAATAGAAATAGAAAGGAAGAGCAGAAGAACTGGTCTCAGGGGGAAGCTGGGCGCTGGGGTGGGGGTTGGGGAAGAATTAAGTCAGGGAAGGGGACATGAGGACAATGGGGGAGGGGAAAGGGCCTGCCACAGAGGCCGGCAGGGGGGTGGAAGGGAAACTGGGTACACTGGTGGGGGGTCGTGGGCACTGGTACACGGATGGGTGTGGGAACACTGGACACCTGAAACTCAGCCATCAATATCTTCATCACTTTGTAGTTCACGGTGATTCAAAAATCAAACATCCTAATAAATCCGAATCCCTGCTATTCTGGGTTATTCCAGGAGAAAATGACCAGCAAGGCCGGATGGAGGCTCTCCCACTGGGGAGCTCGGGCTCCCCCAAAGGCTGTGCCCCAACACTCAGCCCCTGACTCCTTGGCACCTGCCTGTTCCTCTGAGCCCTCTGCTATTCACCTCCCTGAGCTGCAGAGGCAGCACCGGAAGAGAAAACCAAACCCCTTCATCCCCAAACCTGAGTCGGGAGCCCAGCCGGAGGCCCACGGATCCATCACCAAATGCAAGGGGGGTTCGTGCTTTGCAGATCCGAGTGAACTAGACATTGTCCAGCACACACAGGCTTCCTGAACCCAGGGAGAGGGAGAGCCGGCCCGGCCCCAAGCGGGGAGAGGGAGACAAGCAAGACCGGCACCCAGGAGATTCAGCCTGTGGCAGAGGAGCTGGATAGCCAGCCAGAAGCTCACAGGAAGGCCGGCTGCCTGCCCCATGGCCCCCCCAGCGTGTGACATGCCAGAGGGTCTCACCCTTTCTACGTCTTCACCATCACCGGTTTGTGCATGTATATGGACAGTGGGTGAACCACTGAGGATGACAGTTGCTGGGGACTAGGGTTGAGGTAAAGGAGGTGGACAGAATGGGCAGTTTATAGAACCTTTATACCAAAGCACAGCCCCCGTGGGGTCTCACAAGCGTTCTCTGTCCCGGAACAATCTCCCCTGCAAACAGCCCCGTTATAAAGACGCTGGTCCCTGACACACTCAGGCCTCAGGATGTGTGAAAGTCCAGCCCGGAGAGATTTCACCAGTCAGGCCTTTGGGCAAAGAATGTTGTTCTTCTGGGGCTGGACTGATAGCACAGAGGGTAGGGCGTTTGCCTTGCACACAGCCGACCCGGATTCAATTCCCAGCATCCCATAGGGTCCCCTGGGCACCGCCAGGAGTGATTCCTGAGTGCAGAGCCAGGAGTAACCCCTGAGCATCACTGGGCATGACCCAAAAACAACAACAACAACAAATTTTGTTATTTTGCAAACCACAGCACCCAAAAGGAGAGAGAAAACAAAAGGGAATGCCCTGCCACAGAAGGAGGGTGGGATGGGGTGGGGGGATGCTGGGACCCATGGTGGTGGAGGATGGGCGCTGGTGGAGGGATGGATATTTGATCATTGTATAACTGAAACCGAAGCACAAAAATTTGTAAGTCTACAACTGTACCTCATGGTTGTTTCACTAAATAAAAATTAAAAATTTTTTAAAAATTATTTTGCTTCTAGCGACCCCTGGTCAAAGCAGCGAATCCTGAACGTGGAGGGCAGACAGGGCTCTCTGCCAGGGGCCGGGTTTTTCCCTCTTTTCTCTTTCCTTGATCCTCACGGTGCCCCTGCTTCAGACTTATTCTCCCAGAGCTCATCCTGGGCACCTTTTCGTGCCAGTGCACCAGACCCAGGACGGATGGAAGGATGGACAACTGGAGTTGCAGGCCACTGCGGGGAAAGAAAACGGAGCCGCGGGCCAGCTTGGGACACGACTTCTGAGGAAGAAATGAGGCGGCGAGGGCCGGAGCAATAGTAAAGCAGGTAGGGCATTTGCCTTGCAAGCTACCAACCTGGGTTCGATCCCCAGAATCCCTCCAAACACCGCAGGAGTAATTCCTGAGTGCAGAGCCAGGAGTAGTCCCTGAGCATTGCAGGGTGTGAGCCAAAAAAAAGAAAAAAAGAAAAAAAAAAGAAAAAAGAAAGAAATGAGGCAGCGACCAAGAGCCCAGAATCCTGGCCTGGTCAGACCCTGGCCCGGCATATCCCAATCGGTGAACCCAAGCAGGGCAGCGAACGAAGCGGGGTGTCCCGGTGGGGAGGGGGACAGCAGGTACCTGGTCAAACTTGTTCACGTCGTTGGACAGCAGGTTGACGATCTGCCCCGTGGTGGTCTTGCTCATGGCCGTGCTGCTGAGGCGGAGAGCCTGGAATGAGAAGGACATGGGACAGCTGCCTTCAGGGGACGGCACAGACGTTGCACAGCGCCAAGGGTACCAGACCTCCGGAGCACCATTTGGGAACCCCCCAAAACGAAAAAGCAAACAAAGAAAAAACACGGGGCAAAGAGATGGGAAAGACAAGGCATTCCTTACAATCCCAGTTCTATTCCCAGCACCGCATACGGACCCCTGAGCTCGGCGAGGGGTCACTCCTGAACAAAGAGCCAGGAATAGCCCCTGAGCACTGCCGGGTGAGTTCAAACACTCCACCCTCCAAAAAAATACACAATTAGTAGACATTATAATGTACACAATTAGTGGACATTAATAAGATGAGGATGGGGTGCGGGAGGCACAGCTAGGGAAGGCTGCAGATTTTCTTTTTTTTTTTTTAGTTTGCTCACTCCGAAAGGTATTTTTCATTTATTTTTTTAAAATTTTTATTAGTGAGACACCATGAGGTACAGTTGTGGACTTGCAAATTTTTGTGCTTGAGTTTCAGTTATACAATGATCAAGTACCCATCCCTCCACCAGTGCCCCATTTCCCCACCACTACGGATCCCAGTATCCCTCCTACCCCCCATCCCACCCTGCCTCTGTGGCAGGGCATTCCCTTTTGTTCTCTCTCTCCTTTTGGGTGTTGTGGTTTGCAAAAGAGGCATTGAGTAGCAATCATGTTTGGTTTATAGTCTACTTTCAGGATGCTTCTCCCATCCTGGGAGGATCCTCCCAACACCCTTTATTTGGTGGTCCCTTCTCTATCTGAGCTGCCTTTTCCCCTAGCACGTGTGGCTGGCCTCCAAGCCATGGAGCAAAATTCCTGGTACTAATCTCGAAGGCTGCAGATTTTCATACAGGAATAAAGCTAAGGGATGTTCTGTTGGGCTAACAAAGCAGATCCCAAGACCGAAGACCGAAAGGGCACCGAAAGCATGCCAAGGGTGAAAGTGAAAGTGCAGGAAATGAGACGCCCGGGAGAAAGTGAAAGGGCGAGAACTCAGAAACAGGAGAGGTCAGATCCTGTCAGATCCTGGGGTGGGTCTCGGTACTTCCCCAGGAGACACTGAGACCAGGAAAATAAGCCAGAGTGAAGAGGGGCGTTTCCTGGGGATACAGAGAGGTGGACCCACCCCTCAGAGCCGGATGTGGGTTTAAACCCAGAGCTTAAAGGGATAACAGGCGGTTGAAACAGAACTTGAGGGAAAACGCCCAGAAAGTTCAGAGTCAGGGGAAGATTTCAACATCCGCAAGTTTACCCATCTGGGCCACATGGCAGGGCTGGAAGACAAAACTCAAGAAGCTGCTGAAACTAAAGCTGCTGCCTCTGTGCCAGGGAGATGGCTCAGTGCATGCCTTGCACGTGAGAGAATCCGGCCCCACATGCTGGGGGAGAAGGCAGATGGGATGGAGAAGGTACCACTAAGTCAATGATGATTGGAGACTCTAACCAGCAACACAAGAGTCCCCAGGAACCCAGCCGGGCAGAGCCCCCCGAGTAGTGCTGGTTACTGTCCCAACACCAAAGAATGAAATAGAATAAATGAAGCCTGATTTGTTCTGTTTTGTTTTTAATTACTGAAAGTGTTCTCTGCCTTACAGGAAGATAGTCCTTTAAAACCCCCACCAGATGGACACAGAGAGTATCATGTTAAGAGAAATGAGTCAGAGAGAGAAGGACAGACATTGAATGACTGCACTCACTTGTGGAATATAAAGTAGCATAATATGAGGCTAACACTTAAGGAGAGTAGAGATAAGGGCCACGGTTTGGAGGCCATGGTTTGGAAGCTGGCACCACATGCTGGGGGGAGAAGGTAAATGGGATAGAGAAGGAACCACTAAGTCAATGATGATTGGAGGGATCGCACGGGATGGGAGATGTGTGCTGAAAGTAGACCAAGGACCAAACTCGATGGCCTCTGAGTATCTGTATTGCAAACCATCTGTCACTGTCACTGTCCTCCCATTGTTCATCGATTTGATTTGCTCAAGCGGGCCAAGGAACACTGTGAGACTTGTTACCGTGTTTGGTCATAATGCCCAAAATTAGAGAGTAAGAAAGATGGTAACTGCCACAGAGGCAGGGAGTGAGATGGGGTGGGGGGTGGCATGTGGGACACTGGGAACAATGCTGGTGGAAAATGTGCATTGGTGGCGGGATGGGTACTCAAGCATTGTATGACTGAGACGCAATCATGCAAGTTTGTAACTGTAGCTCACGGTGATCCAATAAAACTTATTTAAAAAAAAAAAATGAAAACCCCCAGAGGGACAGTCCAATGGGTGGGCTTTCGCCTTGCACAGGGCCGATACAGATTTGATCACAGGTGGTCCCCCTGAGCTCACCAGGAGTGATTCCTAAGCACCACTGGGTGTGACCCCAAAATAAAACTAAACAAAATAAAACCTCCAGGGTCAGAGCTGAGGCACTTGCCTTGCCTGCGCTGATGCTGGTTCGAATCCCTGGCACCACACATGGCCTTTTGAGCACTGCTGAGAGCACTGAACCAGAAGCAAGCCCTGAGCACTGCCAGGTGTAGTCCCTGAGGGCCAGAGAGACAGCAGCTCGGGGGGGCTGAGTGCACAAGACTGTGGGTTCAATCCCGGAGTACGTGAATGTCCCCCATCACAACCACCACCCCCCCACACACAAACACAGTTTAGCCAGGATGTCCCCTCTTGGTCTCAGCCCTGCCAGGCCTGAGCAGAACACCCGAGCCTGGGCCAAGGTAGAACAAGAGCTCGGGGGTGAGGGGCTCCTGGGGTCCTGAGCACTGCATGGAAGGGTTTCCCCCTCCCTCCCGGGGCCCATCAACCCTGCGCCTCAACAAAAAAACCTCCAAATATTTGGAAACTAACAGCTTGCTTTCTACATGAGCATGTGGCAAAGAGGAAACTGGGAGATAATGATGGAGGCCAGCAGGCAGCTAGGGAAGGCCCCTCCCCCAGGAGAGGGCAATACATTTCCTGGGAAGTTGCAAAGGCCAACCTTGCAGAAAACAGGAACTAAGGTCTGATAAGAACCTTACCTGGAACCAGCAACAGACCCTGAGGAAGCTGGAACCCTCCCACCTCCTTAACAATGGACTTTGACCTAGGTAGAAGCCCCCACAGGGGGAGGTTGGAGAAGCCCTATAAAGGCCACCTTGAACAAAGGAAGGGCACGCATATGCTGCCTGAGCCCATGTGCTGTTTGTGCCCACGTGGCCGAGCACATGTGCCACCCGCATCTGCCCTCCTGAGATGTGTGTTTTCATGCTTTCGTGTCTAATGCTGGGATGTGTGTGTGTAGGGGCTCTCTCTGTCCTTGGAGAATCCTGGGTTCTCTCTTGAGTACGTTACTCTCCTCTTTCTCTCCCTCCTTCCTTTCAAATCAAAAACTGTAACTGCAGTGTTCCTCTACTCCTGAGGTTCCGTCTTTTGAGGTGAGACAAGAGCCCAGTAACCCTGGGTCCCAGGTGGCAGAGGTGGATCGGGAGAAAGTGACCGTCTTTCTGTCTTTTTCCTCCCCACTTCACACAAGCTACCCTTGGAGCTCAGGGACATGAATAAGACTCTTAAATGTGTGGCTTTAAATAATTTACATTCAGTCTGGAGTGATAGCACAGCGGGTGGGGTGTTTGCCTTGCAGGCAGCCCACCAGAGTTCAGATTTCCAGCATCCCATATGGTCCCCCGAGCACAGCCAGGAGTGATTCCTGAGTGCATGAGCCAGGAATAACCCCTGTGCATCGCTGGGTGTGACCCAAAAAGAAAAAAAATTTACATTCAAGGGGCTAGAGAGATAGCACAGCGGGTAGGGTATTTGCTTTGCAAGCAGCCAACCCAAGTTCGATTCCCAGCATCCTATATGGTCCCCTGAGCACCGCCAGGGGTAATTCCTGAGTGCAGAGCTAGGAGTAGCCCCTGTGCATTGCCAGGTGTGACCCAAAAAGCAAAAAAAAAAAAAAAAATATATATATATATATATATATATATATATATTTATATATATACATTCAAAAGGGTCAGTGGTCTAGAATCCTAAAGATCAAACACAGACACCCCAAAAAGAGACATCAGGTAAGGCATCTTGCTCACTCCTCCAGAAGAGCCTTGAATACAGACTCCTTTCTGTTTGCGGCCCCCCAGATGCCCCCGGCTCCTGTGCAGACCCTTTCTCTCCTCTCTCCCCTGAGCATTGGGGACAACACGTTTCCCGAACACTCAGTGATGCTCAGGGCTCCCTCCTGCCTCTGCACTCAGGAATCAATCACTCCTGCTGGTGCTCGGGCGACCATACAGGTACCGGGGATTGAACCCAAATCAGTGACGTGTAAGTCAAAAGTCCTAACCACTCTGCCATGGCTCTCTCCAGCCCCTGTGTAGACTGCTTTGGCTCTCTTGGTGGAACTGTTGGTCGAAGGGTCTACACAGGGGCTGGTTAGCCTAATGAGTTGAACACACAGTTTGCACGCAGGAGGCCCCCAGGTGTATCCCTGGCACCGCATATAGTTCCACAGAACTAATAGGAGCAACTCCTGAATACTGAGTCAGGGGGAGAGCCCCTAAGCACCGCCACCTGGTGAGGCCCCACACAAAACAAACAACAACCCCCCCAAAAGGCCAAACATACCCAGGGATATTTGCAGGATATACAACATGGTTGGGGTCAAGGGCAGCTAAATATCTTATGGCCATGTGTAAGATTTAGAAAGGCTAGCAATTAGATGGGAGAAAACCTAGTGATGTGTATTGAAAATTCAACCCCCAAAAGCCCAATGGCTGATAGAAAATTGCAAATACAGAATTCACACTTCCTCATAGACAAGCAAAATGAAGTAACAGAGCAGCGCCTTTTGTTTTTCTACCCAGAAATGGATGTGAAGAACTAGAACAACCTGTGAGGGTGTCAAGTCACCTCATCTCCCTGTAGAGTATATAAAGTATTAACTCTGACTTTAGAAAGAAATCCTGCCCATCAAAACCTTTGAAATATTGACAT